CTTCTTCAACCTTATCTTTCAGCTCAATAAATCATTCTTTAAGTATATTCAACAAGTTCTCTTCACTGCAATAAGTAACTGAAAAAATGAAATGGAAAACAGATCCACTTTATGATAAGAACAAAAACTACCAATTTTCTAGGAATTAATCTAGCAAACGTTGCCCAAGAGGCTTATAGAAGTTTATTCTCTCCAGTTCTTGGCTAATTTCTAAGCTACTCATGCATAGAATGAGACTCTGGGAGGGATAGCAAAGACCAACTTCTAGGAGGCTAAGAGATGAACAGAGATTTCAGAAGTAGAGTAGTAATATGGAGGGATTGAAGTGTAGGCCCAGGCAGAGTAGAGAGACTTCAGTGAAGAAACCATATATTTAATTAAAATCCATGAAATGCCACACTCTAAGATTAAGGACATATGCTAGGAATAATGGCTATGTCCTAGAAGCAGAAATACGATTGAAATAGATCTGTCTTATCAAAATCTAACAGCAAGCTTTAAAGATTCAAGGAATCCACAGGTAATTTAACTGACTGCCAGAACAAAACATATGTTTTGAGAAAGTTAATAGAACCTCCATATAAATTATATACAATGTCCAGATATGCAAAGAAGTAAGAAAATGTCAGAGGAATAGAGTTTAAAAACAGTCAAGAGAAGCAGAACTCATGATTATCCAGATATTGGAGTTATCAGATAAGAACTTTGGGATAACTGCGTGTAATGGGGGGGGGATTGAGAAAAATAATAAAAAGAGTAGTTTATACATTTTTATACATTTGAATGTTTAAGATAAATCAAATGGACACAGCAGAAGACATGATTAAAGATCAATAGAAAAGACACACATTAAACACAAAATAGTGGATGCAAGCAAATGGGAAGAAAATGGAGATTGAACAGGCGTACTAAAGAAAAGTAATTTTAAAGAAATAAACATGAGGATAATAAAGGACCTTGTATATGACATGGAATTTAGCAAGCCAAGCATCGAGAAATGTATTTGATTCCATTTTCTGTATTTCAAGTCCTTATAAGGAAGAAAGCGGGGCAGAGAGACCTGTATTGATTTTCTTGATTGAAGGCTAAGAGTTTTGACTTTAAAAAGTCAATTTGTTAAGCTGTTGTAAGTATATTAAGATTTTCTATTTCTCCTTCAATTGATTTTACTAATACATAATTTTATAGGATTTTGCCCATTTTATCTGCTTTCAAATTATTAGCAAAAGATTATGTGTGACATTTGATATGTGTACATTTTTACAATAATTACATAAATATCATCTTTTAGGTTCTAATGTTTATTTTTATAAATAAAATACCCATAAAGTACCTGTAAAGTTTTATAAAAATTGTTGAAGTTTGTCTACTTAATTTATGTTTCTTAAAAAATTTGGTCATGGTTATTTTATTAACTCTATTGAGTTTTCATTTTATTTGTATTCATGTTCTCTTCTTTTTTTTTTAACATTCTTCTATTTTCTTGAAGCCTGTTCTATTTTATCCTGGATTTGATTTCATTAATTTAAAATCTGTCTTACAATTTAATAAAAACAATTAGGATGATGTGTTTCTAATTATTTCTTTAAGTCCACCCCACAAAATATGATATGTGATACGTTCGATTATTCCTTTCTAAATATTTCATAATTTCCATTGCAATATTTTACCACTTAAACTATTTTAAACACATTTATTGCTCTTGATGTACATTGTTAACTATTCATTTTCAGTTTTATTTTACTGTGATTCAAAAAAAATAGCCTTTATTATATAATCTCTTCATTTTTTCTCCAAGAAAGGAAGTAAAATACCAATCAGTCAGAGTTGGCCTCATATGATTGCCAGATTTAAGCACCAAATGGCTTTATTTAAGGGAAGACGGTTAGTGAAACAAAGGTGCCCATTTCTGTGGCTAGTAACAAAACCAAAACTGATAGTCATCACCTGTCTCCTTCATCACCCATTTTACATTTATTCTACCCTTGGCCATCATTTTGGCGGGTTTGAGTGGCTTGCTTGTCAGGGAGACTCAGAGCTTTACATGTTATGAGTTGGAACTTCACCATTTAGTGTCCATTTCCTTGTGTGGCAGCCATCTTACAATATGGATCCCCAGTGATTTACATCTCCCATTATTGAAGCTCTGGTGTAGTGCCTCATGCATTAAATAATATCTGTCCTTGTGTGACAGAGAGAACATGGCAGATGTGATCATGCATGACTTCTGAGGCTAGGTATGAAAGGCATTGCAGCTTGTGCCTCGGTCTCTTGGAAAACACACTTCTGGTTCTCTGGGCTACCATGTGATTCATCCAACTACCTTGAGGATAATATGGTAGAGAGATCATATTCAGAGGCCCCGAATCTACATAATACATAAGGCCCTGAATCTACACAGAGTGCCTGAGACTACATAAAGAGAAAGCGATACATGGTCAGTCCCCAAATGGGTCCAGCCCCCATGCATTCAAGTCATCCCAACTGAGACCCCATACAACTCATATAGCAAAGATAAGATGTTTTTGCTGAGCTCTGCCAAAATTATACATTATAAACAAACAATTTATTGTTTTTACCTTAATCCACTAAATTTTACAGAGAAAAAAATATGTATATACAGATATATGTATGTGTGTGTGTGTGTATATATATATATATATACACACATACATATATACATATATATGTATATATATGTATGTATATATGTGTGTGTGTGTGTATATATATATATATATATATAAACACATTTTCTAACCATTGGTGCTGTAGTTATCTGTTTATGGTTACCATGGGCATAAAAGCTCATAAATTCAGTGGGTTCTAGACAGCATCCTTTGGTTTCTTATTATGTAGCAGCTGTAGACTATCCTGGAAATTAGGATTGACTACTGTCACTGACACTGTAACTTCTTTCTTTGGTTGCTTGTCCACTAGCATGAGAATTGGCATCAGTCCTATTTGCTGTTGCATTAACATATCATATCAGTCTGTCTTTGCACTAGCCTAAGTTCTTTTCTTCTGGGTTGGTTGACTGTTGGGAGTACCACTAGAGGCCAAAGGTGTGAGCTGAGATAGGACTGTCTGTACAGCAGAGGTAAGTGATGTAGATGTCTAGGCCACACAATTATGTGATTTACCAGTGTATTTTGGATATGCTCAGGCTGAAACTCAAATATCATTTCTGCATCTGCCCAATATAAAAATGATGGATCTGATAATATTCAGTTCAGAAAATTAAACCCCAGTGACATAGTCACTTAGCATCCCATAATCAGGCCATCAGTAGGATCTAGTACAATAACAGAATGTTTATTCATATTGAGAATAGTTCTTTTACAGAGAAATAATTATCTTTCTCTAAAACCCTAGAAATGTCTCAAACTCATAGCAACATGTTTCCATGGATATCTCTACCTCAAGCCAATCTGCTCTGTTATAAGACCCAAGTGGCTAGACACCTCAGGCTGGCTCTTCTGCAGAACTCTGTCTTCCATTAGGCCTCACTCAAAATTAACAGCTTCCAAGTCATCAAATAATACATGAGTCAGAGCAGTGATATCAAGTGCAGGCCACCTCCAAAATCAAAAGAGCCCTATTAAACATTGCGCATCTTTCAGATAAGTGTCAGCTGTAAAGTACAAAACTTTGTCCTTAGTCTCAGAAGGAATATTGTGCCATGTCACTGACCACTGGACCTCTAAAACTGTGACCATTCCTTGATTCTTCATAAGGCTTATCTCTAATTCTCCAACACCTCTGACAACTACTATGCTTCTCATATCCTGATCACCAAGTCCGATTATCGTGATGTTATCAATGTACTGATCGGGTGTTATGTTCTAGAGATTGTCAAGATGATCAAGATACCTGCAATCTCTATTGTGAAAGAGAGCAGGACAGTTTGCATATCCCTGGGCTTGACAGTAAATGGGTACTGCTGTTTTTACCATGTGAATAAAAACAGAACTTGATTATCTATTAAAGAGAATTGGAGAAAAAACGTCTATGCAAGATCAGTAATCTTCTAACAAGTGCCAAAGCCTGTGTTAATCTACTGTCACTTAACTAAGTGGTAGCTCCAATAGCAGCTTCTGTGGCAGATGGTATAATATAGCAGCTGTGAAGTTGTGATCGGGACTGCCAATTGGATGAATTTATAGTAATGTGCTGTCATCTGCCAAGATCCATTTCATTTTTGTAGGGTACATACAGGTGAATTAAATAGAAATATGATGTGGGCCATCACCCCTACATCCTCTATATCTTCGATAGTGGTACTAATCTCAGCATTTCTTACCATGATATAATGTTGCCTCTGATTTATAATTTTCCTCAGGATAGGAGTGTGGTTTCTGGGTCTGCCACCTGGCTCTTGATGCCCTAATAGCTTTTATTCCGCAGACCATAATATATGCGTTCTGCCAGCTGCTAAGTATTTCTCTTTTCATACTGCACATGAGGACCAGGGAAATAGCCACAGGTTAGGTCCAAATATACTTGTGAAATGGACTTGGGTCAAACTCTACCTGGCCTCCATAAGCTCCCATTTCACCGGAGAACTGCAATTGAGCTTCAGATCCCATGACATCAGTCTCAGCTCAGAACTTATATCTAACTGTGCTAGAAATGTTTGGGTTGTCTCATTCCCTAGCGCTGTTACCCTGGAAATGGTTTCAGATCCCCTCGGAGGATAATCAAGGGAATATTTACTGTATATACTTCAGGTAGCATTGCGGTTCTTTTTTTCTCAAGGGGACCATGCTCTTCAATCAATTAATTCTACATTTGAGAACTAAATTACATTTGGAAATTAGGTATGAAACCACAGTTTCAAATTTAGCAGCTGATGTCAGCCTTCTGCCCATCATCTCTTCTTTCTCTTTTTCTCATGTCTATCTCATGACTAAGAACACCATGGCCTATTAACTATTACCACAGGTATACAGGTCAAGGCAAATTGATGGCAAGTCTAGTAATTTCATCTGCCTCGCCTTTGATGATTGAGTGTTGTATCAGCTGGGCCTAATTCAACAGCATCAACTCCTACCATCAACCACAGTTTGCAGAGCACAGCCACCAGCAATCAAGCTTTTTAAAGATGTAGGTACCCTCTCAAAACTTCATTGCTTATGGAGTGTCCTGTGGGCCACACAAGGATCTTAATCAGGGTGTGCATACTCAGGTCATGCATAGTAAATCAATTCTAACCTTCCTATATCTTCCATTTTTCTCACTCCTTCATCAATACCATGTTAGGATGTTCCAAATTTTTCATTGTATTTGCTATATTGAAGCCTCAAGTATCCCAGAAGGATACTTTGGGGTAGACATCAGTGTTGTTGCCAGATTACCAAATTAGAAGGCTTTTGTGTGCCTCTATTCAATAAATTCTCCCATATCCAGCCTAATATTGCACCTCTTCAGGTATAAATCTGAAGTTTTATTCTGACTTTGGCTTCTCAAGTTGCTGACAGTATTTATTAGTCAGGTCTGTCAATTCCTCTGAAATAAACTATTTTCTCCAGAAGATGGATTATACTTCTATCCTATGGCTGTGCTGAGGCCTAACCCTAGCTATTGACTAGAGGCAATAAAGGGAGGTGGGTAGACCCTGAGGGAAAGCTTTACCTTGAGAGGCATTCACGAGGATATGTCATTGTAAAATCTCCTGAGGCTTGGAGAAGTGGGCTGCTTCTGCTATCCTGGAAGTTCAATAGAACTTGTGAGTTCAATAGTCTCAGGCTTGTTTACCCAAATTACCCCATTTCAGGTCTCAACATTCTATTCCTTTCCTAAGAAGCCACTGATTTTAGCATAAGGGCCTCCTGAGTCTTTGCATTCAGGATGCATTGAGGCTCTGCCACCTTTTCAGTATATCCTGAGCCTAATTTTCAGCACATTCTGCCATGTTGCCTCAGGAGAGGAGAATCTCCCTAAAAACTTCCCTGGAAGTTCTTCAGATTTCACATTGTTCCGTGTTATGGCGTTTGGCTGACCTGAGCTGAGCATTTTATTTTTTCAACACTTATAATGCTTGAAGAGAAGCCAATCCACACAATCCTTATGATTATTGTTGACCTCATACATTTAAAACACCACAGCTTTCATCTATTCTAATGCTTCTCTTTTCACCTGTGTTTCATTCCAATTTAACAAAGGTTAAAGCTTCCATAATCACGGCACCACTGCTAACCAGGAATTTTCACTCTCTTAGTTACGACTAGCACTGAAATCCTCATTGCTATTAGGAATGTGAATAGTCCCGTTCTAAGTTCCCATCTTTATGATCTACTTTCTTTCTTTCTTTTTTTTTTATTGTACTTTAAGCTCTGGGGTACATGTGATCATCCTGCAGGGTTGTTGCATAGGTACTCACATGCCATGGTGGTTTGCAGTCTCCATCCCCCCATCGCCTACATCAGGCATTTCTCCCAGTGTTTTCCCTCCCCAGCGTCCCCATACCTCACTGTCCCTCCCCTAGCCCTCCATCCCACAACCTACCCCAGTGTGTGATGTTCCCCTCCCTATGCCCATGTTTTATCATTGTTGAACACCCACCTATGAGTGAGAACATGCAGTGTTTGGTTTTCTGGTCTTGTGTCAATTTGCTGAGAATGATGGTTTCCAGATTCATCCATGTCCCTACAAAGGATACGAACTCATCATTTTTTATGGCTGCATAGTATTCCGTGGTGTATATGTGCCACAATTCTTTGTCCAGTCTATAGCTTATTGAATATGTGTATTTGGCCACCTTGCTCAGCATAAATTCCTATTCCCTTTCCCCCTCTCTAGCAGTATCTGTTTCTGGTTCTGACTGGCAGCTGTGTTTCCTAGCCTGTCAGAATCTCCACCCTGCAGGCTACAACCCTTTATAACAAATAAAGCCTTTTTTTTTTTAAAAAACTTACAATTTTTTTTAAGTTAGCAGTCTGAAACAAGAGGGCAAATGTCCACAGACAGATGAAGCCAAAAGATATAATGTGACACTTACATATTCAAAAATTTTAAAAATTCTGATTGTCAGAGGAGCACATAATTGCAGTTTTTGTAGTTAGTTCTGATGACATTTGTCTATTGATATAAAACTATGTTAGCTGCAATAACTGGATTTACATTAACTTCTCATTGAGTTGTGCACTTTCTGCTATTTTTCTCTTATCTTTGTGTTTACTAAATTGCAGTCTGCACTATGCTTTGCTTGCTACTGTAATCAGTAGTAGTTTTAAAAGAATGGAGCATTTAAAAATTTTTCTCTGGGCTTCTTTATACTATTTAATAAATTCTAGATTGTGTATTTTTTCAGCTTCAAATGTAACAAGGAAATGTAATTTTAACCTCTATCTATGTAAAACAAGAAATTTAATATGCTTTTAGTGACCCATCTCTACATTTACAGATCATTCTTATTATGCGGTATAGATTGTAGGTTAGAGGTATAGATGATTAAGCTTTAATTATATTCTTTTTTCAAGTGACATTTATTATACTGTATTAAATTAACATTTGTACAGAAATTAATTGGATTCACTCATATAAATTCTTTCCAAAGAACATTTATACCAAATTTTCTGTTTTTTCCCAATTTTAATTAACTTTTAGCTCCCTGGATTATTTGCTTGAGTAAACTTTTCAGGGGTCTGTGTCAGTGCCATAATTTATAATCCCTTGTATATCAGAAAAACTAAAAAAAAATTTAGTTGCCACTTGCTACTTGGCCTTCTCACCCTGTAGAAAGAGAAAAAGAAAAGTATCTATAAACACCTTCCGTTATATTTTTGTATTTGGTGTTGCAAAGGTTAAATTTTAAAGCCTGCCTGGAATGTACATTAGCTTTCTTGTATTTTTTTCTGGTTTCTAGGTAATCTGTATATTTGGAGACCCAGGTTTTAATAATTTTTTTAATTTTTAACATTTCTAAAAGTTTACAGGATATCTGTGGTACTAAATATTTTTAATTAGATTTCCCGCTTCAGTTCTGCATGTTTTAAAATAATTTATTCTGCTTCTTATAGCAAAACCATTTCAAGAAATGTTTTAGGATAATTCTCCCCTTCTCCAAAGATGAAGAATTTCATTTATAAGTCACAGTTTGTTTGCATCTGCTTTCTTTATTCAAGATAAGTGTTGTTTATTCACGTGTATATTATTCCGTGTGTTCATCCTTAAATAAAGATGGCTCGATTCTATTTAATAGGCCTGGTAATATCCACAAAGAAAGTGAAATACTTAGGAATACAGTTAACCAAGGAGCTGAAAGATCTATACAAGAACTACAAAATATTGCTTAAATAAATCAGAGTTGATACAAATAAATGAAAAAACTGCACACTCATGGATTGGAAGAATCAATATTTTTTAAATGCCCTTCAGCCCAAAGCAATTTACAGATTCAATGGTATTTCTGTCAAACTACTGGCATGATTATTTACAGAATTAGAAAAAACTATTTTAAAATTCACATGGAACCCAAAAAAGAGCCCAAGTAGCCAAAGCAATGCTAAGTAAAAAGTACAAAGCCAGAGGCTTTACATTATCCAACTTCAAACTATACTGTAAAGCCGCAGTAACTAAAAAAGCCTGGTACTGGTATAAAACCAGACACATATACCAATGGAACAGAATAGAAAACTCAGAAATAAAGCCGTACACCTACAACCATCTGAGCTTCCACAAAGCCAGTAAAAACAGGCAATGGGAAAAGGAGTCTTTAATTAATTAAATGGTGCTGGGATAACTGGTTAGTCACATGCAGAAGATAGAAGCTGGACCCTTACCTTTCACCATAACAAAAATTAACTCAAAATAGATTAAATATTTCTCAAACTATAAAAATCCAGGAAGACAACCTAGGAAATAGTCTCAACATAGACCATGGTGAAAAATTTTTGGCTAAGTCTCCAAAAGCAATTCCAACAAAAACAAAAATAGACAAGTAGAACTAATTAAAGAACTTCTGCATAGCAAAAGAAACTATCAACAAAGTAAACAGATAACCTACAGAAGGGGGGAAGATATTGGAAAACTATGGATCTGACAAAGGCCTAAAATCCAGAAACTGTAGGGAACTTAAACAAATCAACAAGCAAAAGCCAAATAATCTCCATTTAAAAATGAGCAAAGGACATGAACAGACGCTACTCAAAAAAATACATGTAAGTGGCCAACAAACGTGAAAAATGCTCATCGTCACTAAGCATCAGAGAAATGCAACTCATGACCATAGTGAGATAGTATCTCACACCAGTGAGAATGGCTGTTACTAAAAAGTCAAAAAACAACAAATGGTGGCAAGGCTGTGGCAAAAAGAGAATGATTATATACAGTTGGTGGGAATGTAAATTAGTCCAGCAGCTGTGGAAAGCACTCTGGAGATTTCTCAAAGAACTTAAAACAGAGCTACCATTTGATCCAGTAATCCCACTATTGGGTATACACCCAAAAGAAAAATAATCATTCTACCAGAAAAACACAGGCACTTGTATGTACATTGTTATGCTATTCACAATAACAAAGACGTGGAATCAACCCAGGTACCCATCAACAGTAGATTGGATAAAGGAAATATGGTACGTATACACCATGGAATATTATGCATCCATAAAAAATGAATAAAATCATGTTTTTGCAACAACATGGATGGACCTGGAGGTCATAATACTAAACACATTAATGCAGAAATAGAAAAATACCGCATGTTCCTACTTGTGAATAGGAGCTAAATGCATGGACATAAATATGGGACAACTAGACACTATGGACTAGTAGAGGGTAGAGAGAATGGCGAGTGGGTTAAAAAACTACCTGTTAGGTACTCTGCTCACAACAAGGGTGATAGTATCCATATCCCAAACCTCAGCATCACATATTATCCATGCAACAAATCTGCCTGTGTATCCCCTGTAACTAAAAGTTGAAATGAAAAAAGGAACATAGGCTTCTGTAGGTATCTCTCACTTCCTACTTAAGTGTTGACAGAAACCTCCTTGTATTCTTAAAGCAGAAGGCATATTAATGTACATAACTTTCTGAACAATTTCTAGTTTTAAATATGCTTGACAACAGTGAAAAGGAATCCTAATCTGTTGCCTGCTTCTCTGTCTCTAGGATGATACTTTATTTCTGGATCATTCAGATTGTCTTGTCTTTAACATTTCCGTGCCCCTCCAAAAAAAAACAGTATTTGAGGATCTTATATACCTCCCAAGCATTGCTTATAAGTACTGTCTTTGCCTACGGTTGATATCACATTGCAAGCTTCCAGGTAGCATTTTTTTCCCCAACCCCTCTTTATTCATATTGTTTTATAGGAACCACATTTTCCATGTGTTTGCTGGTTATCAGTATACGGAGGGGTAGTAAAATCTAAGGAGGCAATGTCCCTAGCTACCACTAAATTTAAATTGTGTTTCAGAAAATGGATGGCTGTTTGAATTTGTGATTAGCAAAATCCCTAAATCTCTGTAATAGGGATAGGTAGTGGGTCAAAAATGCAGCCTTGTTCAGTCTTCATCCTCCCAAGTGCTGCTCACATTTGAAGGGCAATGTATGCAAAGGCCTCCAATTGTTTGTCAGTCCAGCCAGTTCCCATGGCAACAGATTCCAGACTTTGAGAAGTTGTTTTCCTTCTTTTCAAGTATTGTTTTGACTCAGTAACTTTTCATCTTCCTTCACTTCAATGAGAGGACAGGATAGGGTATTTCAGGAGTGGCTTACCTGATGTTTAAAGTGACCATAGCATCTGGACTAATAATGACTTTGAACAAAAATGTCACTTTAGGGCTTAAATTACCAATATGTGAAATGGTTATATTACTCTTCCTCCCAACTTAAAGTCTGCTGGCTATTAATTGTTCTCAGTATTCAGAGTGGCTGACAGCTAGAACAGAAGTCCAAGAGTTTTTGAAAAAGAAGGTCATTGCTTGGCTCTATAAAGAAATATCTCTTCAATAGAATATCTTACCACCATATAAAATAAATGAGTCAGAATTCACATACAAACACACACACACACTCCAACCACCAATGATGACAAGTTCAAAATAAGTAAATCCTTAAATCATTTTTAATGGGATATATTAGTACCTATTTCCTAAGGAAGTAGACTTAGAATGGAGAGATTTAAAGGAGGAGTTAGAGATAAGTAGCAGTGAGTGCCCAGAAAGTCATGGTCTCCTTCAGGTTCCTTGAGTACACGTGTGTGCATCCACATACACGTACATCATCCACACTCACACTGAGAAAATAACAGGATTCATATGCTTTATTCATAAAAATTGAAATTAAAATATATTTAACAGTTTGATAACTAAACTATCATAAAAGATCAACTTCAAAATCACAATGAAATAACTGATTTCTTTTTCTGAGAGTTGATTGATTGCATTAGGTGTCTGTGGGTCACTCAGGTTAATCCTTTAAAACAGACACTTTTACCAATTTAATGGATATTATGTGAATTTTGATGCATTTAAGCATATGACATAGAAGTCTGTTTCTGCAGCATAACCTTATACTAGCAATGCTTTCACAGCAGGAAGTGTGAAGGTAGGGAGTCTAGGCCCCTTCTAGCTTTTTGCTCCATTATCTT